AGAATCTTAGGATATGGGGGGATATGAAGGGGTCTTGATGGGGTATACGAAGGGGATCTATCAGTGGCCCTATTGGGATCACAATTTCAAAGGAAATTAAGAAAATCATTCCACTGAGACCGATGCCATGTCCGAGATAGAATTGGTTTCTTTGGGCTTCAAATAAAAGCCTTCCAGGGAACAAGCACCACAATCTTGGATGAAAAATCAAATCCCCGGGGTCCTCTCAGCTAATTTCGTTGGTTACGACCAAGCTGAGCATAGAAGCAGACAAAAAGAAAAGAAAAAGCAAACAACACGGTTCTCGTGACAAGATGAACTTTGAAGGCCGCGATTTTACGTTACAGTAATCACACGACCCTCAATTAGATCCAAGAATCACCGAATTGGAGGAAAACCGGTATCCCGCTCATGATGCACTGAAGGAGGATACCAGGCAAGTCCACGTACCACGCACAAGAGTGTTGATAAATAAAATTTAAAGATGTATTCCGCCATGCTCAGAATTCAAATCGGGACCGACATTCCGAATTACTGTAACACAAAGTATGCGGAGACCGCATGTGGACATTTACTTCATGACGCTCAGTACTCGAATGTGGAATTCAAAGCTAAATAAACGACTTCCACCGGAATACGATTATTTCGACAAGTTGGTAACAACTAGCTACCTGTCGACCAACGACCGTAGGGAAATCACCTCATGACAGGTTCATTCAATGGGTTCAAAAAGGAAAAAAAGGGTTTCGGAAAACAGCAGACTCAAAAAACTCCGAAAAATCACAGATTTTTTTGTTCGTTCCGTTTAGAGTTTTGTTTGAAACTGGTCTTTTTCAATTGAATCCTATTTCGGATAGCGAAACCTCACGAGGAAAGATCGCGTACGGAAATTACAATAGGCACCAGTTTCCTACAGTAATTTCATGTTTCAAGGCCTTATAATTTAATTTCGACGTAATTTCGTCACACTAACATATAGAATAATATCGTATAATAATACAGTATAATATAAACCACGTTAGAATAATTGAATTGCCAGTTATTGCACTGCAACACACATGAGTTATACTACAACTTATACGTAGAAAACAGGGCTGGTAGCATGAAGCTACAAGGGGATTACGGTAGGAATTCGAAGTGAATTTCTATTTGCACAAGAAAAAAACTATTGAATTCAGAACGACGAAGAATACAGACGTAGGTGATCGTCGGCAGAGCCACCATTCTTATCAGCATTTGGCATTCTCGGCATTCAGAGGGATGATAAGAAATGTTCTTGGCCACAGTTCGAAAACGACTCAACGACGATCAAACTCCAGTAAAGTCATCCCGAGGGAAAGAAAGCGCGAGAATCACATTTAGCCAGCGAAAGCCGATTCCCTCGACCACTTATGCTAATTGTGCACGTGTGGCCGGCCCCATATCACATGGATGAATGAGTTCAAAAAGCGGACACCGGCTGAGACGAGCTATTGGCTGGCTGCCGGCTGGTTGGAGGGGGATTACCGCCAGAGGACACATCGTGCAGAAGAGTGCACAAGTGCAGAGGAATGTTGCAGCCATGCATCAGACTGATTAGAAACGACATAGCAACTTCACAGAGCACCCAGAGAACATCGAGCACCAGCGAGCATATAGCCATCACCGTGGTCGAGCCAGCCAGACGAAAGAGAATGGCCTCCAGCACGACAGCCTAGCGATACACCACCACCATGGCACGCTACAGACGACGGCCGACTTTTGCCCATAAGAGCCTTCCCCCTTCACGTCCCTCTCGAACAAGTCGACGACGGCCAATCGATGCTACCCGACGACGCCACGGAAATTCGAACCTGACACGCCCTGTCTCATTATCAGAGCCCCGAGACGCTACTTCATTCATTGGAAAATGCCCATATGTTATTTCCGGGAAATATGCGTCAATTTGCCGGAAGCAACCAGAAGGTATGAAGAGGCTGACCGGAAATGTCTTGCTTATAAATGAGTTGACTCCCTTGGATTTCCGGCGGACTCATTGGCTCAGTGGGACATGCTTCAACCAGTTCCAAGGCAGCAAGCGGTCTCAGTTGCTGAGGGATCGCTTCGGGGATGAATGATATCTCAAATATTCCCAGGGGGCCTCTGGAATTCTTTGAACATTGTTACTTTTGAATATGAAAAATTAGTGAAAGACCTTTGGGAAGTGTCACGAATGAAATTGCAACAATTTTCACAACTTCAGTGATGGATACGCCATGCACTGGCCCCATCAAAAATATCTTGAAGTCTAAAAGGTTAACAGGACAACATAACCGATTTACAGTCTGATGTGGCTGGTAATTTGTTTATTGTAAACAAGCAAGTAATAAGGAAATAATTTTATCGATGAGTCATTCGTGAAACATTGACCATATGTTGTTAGAATCTCAAATCGACGCACTGCCTCTGTCAACTAAGCCCACATTCCATTGGGACCATCAATTAACATCAGGCATTCTCGGAAAACAAATATAATGATCAATATAATCGTAAACCTTTTCAACCAATGTTTGTACGGTCGGAGTATCACTCAATAGCTACAAAATTTTTGATTAAAGTGGAAACGCATGGCGTATCCCCACATCTTTGAGTGGTTTTATGCTTTTTTCTGCTAAAATATGACACAGAGGGCCAAACATTAACCTTCTCAAGAGACTTACTTCTGCTAAAATATGACACAGAGGGCCAAACATTAACCTTCTCAAGGTAAAAGTGAACCCATCTGGTGTTTATCGATTTCTACTGGGATGCGCCACTCATCTGACTTCTGCTCTTTCTTCGTTTTGGTCAGAAGATGGTACGAATACTACTTCTACCTTTAATAATAACCACAACTTCTGCCAGTATTACTAATGATATCAATAACAAGAAGCTGTAAACAATAATAGTAAATAACAAATAATAAATAAAAACAATAGTATTGATAACAGTACCATTGAAGGATCGGTGGACAATTACTGTAAACAGCAACCGATGGGAATGCTTTTTCAATTAACCTTATCAGACCAGATCGAATCACCCAATCAGCCCATATGTATGAAGAGCCTATCAAAGCGATCAAAACAAATAATGGGACGAATATTGGACTTTTCAAACATGCAGAAGACAACTTATTCTGTGGGACTCTCTAGGAATAACGCTATTATCCCACACTTCAAATGAGTGCCTCGTGCTTCGGGTAACTTTGCAGTCCAGTCTAATTATGTCTGATCAATCAGTTTGAGCCACGGTATTACCTTTTGTATTCCTACTCCGATTATAGTAAATGAAGGGTCACACCCTGTAGGTCGGATTGTGCTATGGCAATGACCAAATTTCGTGGTAAAACCCCTAAATTCCCTCCCTCATCGGTTGAGTTCCGTAAGCGCCCGTTTTGCGTTGCAATGAGGTTAGTAATAGGTGGCCGATGGTTGTACCTTAGAATTGAAAAAACAGAGGTAGCTAAGGAGCCGAACTTGAACTCCACGGCGGTACTGTGGTCCCGGGGCTCGAAGAATAGTGCTAGATATTCATAACCGTTTTCTGTTGGTCGGTATGTATGGTCTCTCAGCCTATCAAAAGATAACTTTGGTCAAGGTGGGTGGTCCGGGCAATACTTCAAGCTAATCAGGGGATTTGCCATGGGTCAACGGCTGGAATCAGTGCTAGCCAATGATACATGTCAGAAGTAGAAGAAAACTCCTTCCTCCGTCCCGTCAAGTAAACGACTGCTTTAGCGCCTGCTCGACCCACACGGAAATGGGCATGTGTTCAAAGCTGCTGAACAACCAATTTGACAATATTCAATTTATACGGGAACAAGATAAATGACTGCTCTCAACGTGCAAAGTCTGCTTGAGCTGGGAAGTGGGTGGGGAGGAGCAGTCTTTGCGGACTAAATGGTATAGGAAACCTACCAGTATGAATATTCTGGTCCATTCCAGGTTGACCCATCCATTCTAATTCGAGGGCATTCTGATGCGTGAGCATACGACCTTCGTAAACTTTGGAAGCATTCTGGATCAGTGCGAAAAACCGCATAATGAATCAGAGGGACGACTGCCTCGCCATAACAAACAAACTCGCCCCGTTCCTCGACATGCGTGGGTTGCGTGGGCCCGTGACTACTACCAGCCGGGAGAAGGTCATCCGGAGCTCACACCGCAGATATGTTTAGAAAGGCAGTTTGAAATATGGTTTTTAGAGGTCTTCTAGCCTATATCCAACTTGCTTCCCAGCTGTAATTTACGACACCTTCCTCGACAAAGAAGACTATGCCTGAGCTAAGACAAAGCCTGAAATGGTGCTTGATAAGGATGAATCTCGATTATTTCCAGCTCCCAGGCCCTGGCGGTGGTGACAAGACCGAATGGTTACCTAAATAAAAAGTTATAACACCTTGGCTAGGGCGGAGGTGGTGAAGTGGCAAGTGCCGCACTATCCTACTTGTATGGTCATGGATTCGAGTTCCGGATTACCCGCCTGTGCCAACCAAGCCCTCCATCCCTTCAGGTTCGGTTGAATGGTACCAGACTATTTGGGAGGATGAAAGCACTGACTTGTATCGACTGACCACCGCTGTATTGGCCACATACGCATTCAAGATGCCACCACGATCCTGAAAGGAAGTCGAATGCGGGGCGCATCCTTCAGACGGGATTGGTAGACGCCCGAGGCCTTTCTCCTTTACCCTTCAACACCTTGCCCAAGGCTCCACAAAAGGACTGAAAGCATCGATATCATGCCATTCATCGATAACCGGTCATGGTCGTCTCTGAAAACTAAAATGAATTCTAACACCACATATAATCGCTGACGTTGAAGTGGGACCATTCCCAAATCTCACTTTACTGTATTGATCTGACATCGATTAGTTTTTCAAGTAGGCAAAGCAACAGTCAGCTTAGCTTTCGCTCTCAAGTGGCTCAGCGAGGGCGGGATGCAATTGTTAGACACCTCTCGAAGCTCCCCGGCAGCCAGTCTTCCATCGCACGGCAAGTACCATGGGGGAAGAGGTACGCGCTACTCTTTATCATTATATTTTTCTTAATTTTCTTTTTTTGCAGTGATGTAAATGCAGTTTTACAGTTTCCATACATTCCCCTGCTTACCAACATGCGACCCATATCTTAGTCGGGCGATTTTCCCAATTACGTTTTCAGGATTACCAGAACGAAGGTGGGTGCCCACGGAAGAGGTGGACATTGGAACAACTGAAAAATGGAAACACATTTTTGTCGATGCAAGCTGCGACCAACAAATTCGACTCCCAGGCTGGAATGACTGCTCCTGGAATGCCACGATGGAACATCGTCCGGGACAAACAGCTAGGGTAAGTAAGTCCAAAGACGGGAGAAGTGAACTCGTACCGAATCGGAACCCTACACCACCGTCTACTTAGGTATATCGAACCGGATCGTCGTTCGGAAAATGTCCTCCGTGTCCAATGCGGTACCAACCAGTATGCCTCACAGAAAGGTGAAACTCCCATGGGAGCTACACGTTGCCAGGTATAATATTTGGGGGTATCTGGCAAAGCGAATTTGTACCTTGAAATATCCTTACCCACTCAGGTCCCCAAAGTCACCTACAAGAAGGATTGGGAGACGGTACTGGACAAAGAAGGTGAGAAAATCATTCCAAAACAGGCTGGCGATTATGGACTTGCTACCCAAGCAGGAGAGGTAATTTCCCACCTTGGAAATTACTGGTATCTTAAGGAACTAGGAAATACATGTAGGTTTCAATGGGCGCTCACAGGAACCAAGTACCAAATGTTCGGGGACGTTTGCCACACGATCGCCGTACTCATGGTGTCCTTGTTTTCCAGAATGGTAAGGTGATCTTTAGGAGACCTATGAGAGTCAGATAAGGGACCACTTCTTCTAGGAACAAATATTTTTGCTTCACAAACTGGAATGACTGCACCACCTGGTATTGGAGCTGTTCGACAGGCAACTCAACGAATTGAAGGTCTTGACATGACGTATGTTCAACAACGCCCATCGGGGTGTATTAAAGTCGTCTACTGGGCCATTTTTCAGGGAAGATCAGCAACGTCGTGGTACAGAATACATTCCATGGTATTCTGGACAGAATAAATTTGCAACACAAGCTGGTAGTGGAGGATTCTTGAAAGTTCGAGATGTCATAGTCCATTCTAAGGCAAGTTTATTTGTTTATCATTGGGGCCAAATGTTAATAAAGACACTAACCGCTTCAGGGAGGAAAAGAAATAGACGACGAGCTTAAGCAGAAGTCCGAAGGAATTGTTCCATTGCAATCAGGAACAAACAAACTAGCGTCTCAGGTAATCTCCCACAAGGAAAAGATAAAGGCACAGTTCACGATAGCTTCGAGGTACCCACTTCAAGTTGGAAAGCGGAAGTATTGCTTGGGAATCATCGGTGGCGAAGGAAGCGAGAAAATTCGCCGATTTGGTGCAAAATAAGGCTCCTCAAAAGTAGTGTAAGTAGTGGTTGTACGAGATTGCCATGACGGAAATGGCATGGAAGAGGTATTTGGACGAGATTTTATTTGTAACAAATGCACAAAGGGCTAACTACATCGAGCCCATATTGTCTAAGGCTGTCTTCCACTGTCGCCCTGGATCATGACACAATGTTTGAACTTACTACATGGGTTGTAGATGGTGCAGCCTCCACTTCGCCGTTGAAACTCGTCCGCCCCTGGGTGTGCCATCCAACAGATACAATCTTTGTGCCCTTGTAACAATTAAACTAAGCAGTTTATCGATCTACAACACCACCTATGGTATACTGGAACGCCCCAGAATCATCAAAGGGAAATTCCCCGGAAACCCTAATCTTATCATGAACTATGCCTTTAACTACGTGATCTTATCCATTCTTCGTATTGTACGCAGCCAGAAAAAATTGGTTTTATAGAAGATTTTTTCAGAGAGGAATGACAGGATTCGGTACTCCACGAAACACCATACAAAGAAGCGGATGGAAAAAGGAATGGTAAGATACATAACTTTAGTCAGGGTAGACTGGCTGGGGGTACTTTTCCCCGAACTCCCACGGGAAACTGCAGTTTCTCCGCGACATTTACCGTAATCTTCCTACGGAAATTCTGACCTTTTGAGCAATCGCATGTGGCGAGCGCGGCGCGGTTTCGGGGGGAGTGTACCACATTCGTGTAGATTATTATCCCTATCGAGCTCTACAACTAACAGCGGATTATAGCTGCAAAATCGATGGGATATATTTCAAACGTACATCAAATCTTTTCCTCGAAACTGACGAGTTCTTTAGCTTCACCCTGTCATTGGAAAATAAATAGTGCGCGATGTCTTAAGTGTTTGCATAACCGCCCGATGGTGGATGAAGAAAAATCACGCGCAAGTTCCGTAGGATGAGAGAAGAAGTAACAAACAAATGATATGTCGAAGGGGAGAGCTCAAGAGATAAAATCCGGTAGAATCTTTCGATAGTGCTTGTCAGGCTTATTCATATCTCTGGCCTCTACTCTTCTTTTCAGGATCGAGGAATATGAAGCAGCGCTGAAAGAATGGGAGGAATCAAAACCACCAGGAAGTGCATCGAGTGTCGACCCATTCGGACATTATAAAAAGAAGTTCGAAGACAGAGAAATAGAGAAAGAGGTACATTTTTGAACATGGTCGTGGCGTATACGTTATTTATCAAAGGGTGGAGGTGGTGTAGTGGCAAGTGGGGCATTATTACACATGCATGGTCACGAGTTCGAATCCCGTACCGATATCTGCCTAGACCAACCAAGCCTTCATCGCTCCGGGCTTATTTGTTACCAGACTCGCCTGGGAGGATAAAAGCAATGTTTGTACATCGGTTGGCCAGCGCAAGTCATTGTATAGGTCACATACGCATTCATTATGTCACTAC